CATCATCATCATCATCATCATCAACGCCCGAGGAAATGTAATTAATATTTCTAGCATAATCTCGTTAAGTTCAGTACGTAGTTCAACAATCCGAGGCCTCTTTCGATGAATTAATCTCTGACAATGATTTCTTCCGGAAACACCTACGGCCTAAAATTGTGACGGATGAAAGCAATTGGATTACAAGATCAATACGGTGGATAGCCTTGCATATGGTAATCTGTTAGATGGACCAATACAGTTAAGCTGGACGGATGAATATCTAGAGACGCCAGTCCTAAGAATTGTCACGGCTGATGGTCTTCAAGATGTTCCGCTCGACGCAGTCACAATGTGGGAATGTTCCAGAACAATCTTCACTACCGCTGAGTACGAAAAGGCAAAGTCCACGATATTCGAAAGAGTTTAGAAAAGCTAATAGGAAGGAAGTTTCCAGGCTATATTTGCCTCGAGGAGCCATGACCTGCGTTTAAGTGGCAAAGTACGGCTCTGCACCGGTCTCCCAAGTATACGGACACAAAGTTGCGAGAATTTACCCCCAAAGACTATCTATTGCCTTGCTCTTCAATGTAAACATTATCGACTGTCCTTGGCCGAGATGATCAAATGGATTCTATTGGGCACTTCCAAGGATTCGACCGGCGCTCTACGAATATTGAGGCAAAACCAGATAGGAAGGAAATGAGGGACTATGTCAAGATGCTCGGGGGCCAACCCGTCGAGAGAGAGGCGATCACAATCGAAGAGCTGAAATTAAAGATGGCTCTTATTTGAGATCGTCTTTCTGAGATGAAAAGGTATCAGAGTCACTCAATACACCAGAGAATAGATTAGAGGATCCTCAACTGGGGAAAAGAAGAACCGTGGTGTTCATCAGAACAACTTCGAGATACGTCCGTATGGCTTCTTTTCTCTGTAAGAGAGCTGCTCTATTCGATTTAAAACGAAATGTGTACTTCAGTTCCTCTCGTATTTTAGATCTGGACCGAACCTACAATTTCCCAAAAATCTTAACCCTCTCCTCAACAGGCTTCTGTACCTTCTCCCCAGCAGCACCCTCAGGACTTCCAAAGACTAACTGAGCAACATTCCGCCAGTCACTGGGCAAATCCCACTGCGTCGCAACACCCGCGTCAATGAGCGGGCTATAGTGTTGCAAGTTCGCACCGAAACCGAGCCCTTCAAGGCCGGCCCAGACTAGTCCCTATTAGATCTGACATGTAGAGGGAACAAAACGCAGATAACACCTACGGAAGTACTGATGCATAGCATTAGAGTGGTCCGCCCACGGCACGAAGTTCTCCTTGAAAGCAGCGAATTTCTCCTGCATCGGCTTGATGTGCGCTGGGTCTTCGTAGAAGAGGATCTAGGCAGTGATTAGCTATGGACAAGACGGTGTACCTCAAGATTCCAAAAAAAAAAAAAAACACCAGATTCGAATGGGAAAAGCAAAGGCTCATACCGTGCCATACGCCCCCTTAAAACCAAGTAACTTCGGCAACGTCTGCTTCGCCCAAAGCTCCTGTGGGATCTTGCCCGCCTTCACGAGTTCCTCAAAGGCCTCGATAGCGAGATCCCACAGTCTATCGTGCTGATCATGCAAGAGAACGACTAGCCGCGTAGACTGGGTATTGAAAGCACTGGGGATATTCAGAATGGCGGCATGGACGAGCTCTTCAATTGTGGAGTCTGCGACTGGGCTTTTCTTGCCGAGCTTGTAGATCGTGCGCCTGTTCTTGGCTAGATCAAGTATGGCGCTGGACATGTTTGCTGCTGGGGTTGGGGCCCGATTACCAGCTGAGGAGCAAAATGACCGGGGTGTCATTTGGCGGGAAGATACCAGACGCGTTGGACTAGTTCTGGATAGTGCAACGCGGGTTATAGCGTACAGGGGGGATTGCATGAGGCGGATTGTCATTTTGGAGGTTTTGGGTAATTTCTCGGTGGCTTGGGTCTACCTCTCTATGTCCCCAGGGTAGATTGTAGGGCTAGTGCTTATCCCTCAATTGCTAATGCGGTAGCCGATGTGCAGAGGCCAAGGGCAATTTCGGCCGACGATCGTGGGCTAGCGGAATTACGGATTTACTGATCATGTATCAGCATGGTGATAAATTCATAAATGGAGTACTTTGCCAGGCGACCTATGGGAGCAATAGAACCAAAACCCCAGATTTTGAAATGATCGAATGGAAGTACATCGCGTACCTGACCAGCTAGGCAGCTTCAACCCCTTCTGTAATAGCCGGATGTGTGTCGATGAGGATCAGTGACATCCAGCCACGGCTACAATGGGCTACGAGGTACTCTGATGAGATTCTAATCTCATTATCATGGATTTGGGCCTCCTGAGTTGAAACGACTAATCAGGCTCGAAATCTAATGTGCAATGCTGGTGCAGACATCAATTTCAAGATGTGCTGAAGAGATTCCCACAAGAATAGAACAAAAAGCACCGACTAACACAAACGGTCACAGAGAGCCGGCTGAGGTACTGAACGGGGCTGTCGATCGGGCGGTGCTTGGTAGGTAAAAATGGAGCTCCGGGGTGGCCTGAATGTACAAAAGAACTCTACATCTACGTTGAAAAAAAAAAAGGGTTGAAATATCACGTCGAGCACCAGTGCGCCCATCAAAACCCCTTCCTGTGGACATGGCGGAGATGGGGGGGAGCAAAAAATCTAACACTTTTGAGTCATTCTAACTTGAACTCAGGCTTGGCATCTCAGCATCAGCTATTTCTTGGATTGGATCCTCACAGCCGGGCCCGAGATGTCGGTGTCTTCCACGCAATCATTGATGTCGGATTCCTTCTGCACCTCGTTGCACCTCGTCCGGGTGTTCATCACTTCGCTCTCAACGCGCGAACGGCGGCTACTCCCCCGCTCCGGGTGTCTGCCAGGCCTTGGCAGTGACCTCCAGTTCTGCCTTGTGATGGGCCTCGTCGCTATCTACTTCTCTGAGATGAGGGTGCTTGTCTGTTGGTAATCTGGGTCGAAGTGGAACTGGAGGCATGCTGCTTTCTGGCTTGGTGAAAGCTCGTGCCATCGATCGGATTCGGTTGGACATTTGAGGTGGTGGGTGGGTGTTGTCATATTCGCTACGAGTCTCCCTTCTAATCTTCTGTTGCAGCTTCGAATACCCCGCTTCGACTGTCCCCACGAGAGGCTGATGCCCTCATTGGCCGGGTGGCGTTCAGGGTACGTCTCAAGTACGGACCGCTCAACACCATCAATCCCCTGATCCTGGCTGTATGACGATGTTCTGCCGGGCTGCCATTTGTTCGGCTGCAGGTAAAGTTTACATCTTTGTCGTACGATGCAGCATATCTTTCAATGGTGTGCAGGGTCTTTGGCGCTTACCGCGGTATCCTGATGACCATCCAAACTCGGAAGAACAAAGATACCCCATTTTGGATCTTCGCTCCATAACATTCATGAGGGCTGATCTTGGGAGGTGTGATCGATATCGGGTGTTATGCCCAAAATCAATGCCGTTGTCGAAGATGGCGATTGGGAGGGTCTCTAGGGGGGGACCCGGGTGCCCGTAGCGAAGCCGAAGAGATTCGCGCTAGCAAGATGCAGAATGAGAAGCAATGTCCTGGTAAGTGGGAGAGCAGTTATGCAGAGACGTCCTCTCACCCCGCCCTTTTCCCCGCGTACCGCAACTTATGACAAGTCTTGTTCCCGGCCCATCTTTCTAAATCGATTCCCACATCTTCGTTCTTTCTGATCAGTCAAATCCACAAGCTATCATGCCCCGCACCTGGTTCATCACCGGCTGTTCCTCCAGCCTCGGACGCCAATTGGCCATTACGGCCGCTGAGAACAAAGATGTTGTCATTGCCACCTCGCGCGACACCTCAAAGCTATCCGATCTGGTTTCGATGGGTGTTATTGCGAAGAAGCTTAATGTGCAAGCCAGCGATGCCGAAGTCAAAGCCGTTATTGACGACGTTATATCTACCGTTGGACCGATTGACATCCTCGTCAACAATGCAGGGTGGATTTGGGAAGGAGGTGTAGAAGAGTGCAGGTAAATACGGTCCAATCTTGACAGCAAAATCCAAGGTCTGATGCAAGCTCTAATCCATCTAGCCACCAAGAAAGCATCGATCAATTCGACGTGAACTTCTTCTCACAGATACGCATCCTTAGAGCAGCTCTCCCTTCAATGCGTGCCCGCAAATCCGGCGTCGTCGTTAACTTTGGATCGATCAGTGGCTGGCAAGGCTCCCCGGCAGCGGGCATGTATTGTGCTACCGAGGCCGCCATCGTGATCTACACGGAAACCCTCCGCAATGAACTAGCTCCTTTCCATATTGACGTCACCTATGTGGAGCCGGGTTACTTCCGTACCAACTTCCTCACTAGAGGCCACAAGGTCACTGCCAAGAACTGCATTCCCGAGTTAGACGTTGGAACCCAGGCCACCCGTGATGCCATCGCTGCTAATAGTCTCCACCAACCCAGGGACCCCGCGACGGGCGCTCAAGTTCTCTTCGAGGCTTTCACCAAGACTGGTCGCTGCGAGGGACGTAGTCTCCCGGGAAGATTGGCACTAGGGCGGAATTCCTTGGCTGTTGTCAAGGGGATAATTGCCCATGAACAGGATATTCTTGATAGTTGGGAGGAGATCGTTGCTGCCACGCCTTTTGATGATGTAAAAGCCTAGAGCAGGCAGAGAGGTCCATGTGCTGTTCCGAAAACCGAAACGAAATTAGACCATCCAAAACGATTGCTCAACTCCAATCTAGATTGTCAAAGTCCTTCATCAAGCCTATACAACATAAATTATTAGCTGTTTAGTCACCCCTCAGCCTGTATTGATTCAACGGTTTTGGGTTAGAAAATTCTACGACTATCTGTACTGTTCTTGGGGTTATACAAAATTGCCATGACCGGAATCTGTCCTTTTTGGCTGATAGGAGGAGCATAGAAAAGTAGAGGATCACAAAAAAAGTCTGTGACTATGTGTCCCAAATGGGATCATCAGACATAGTTCGACACTCTGCAGTTGGTATTAGGCAATTGGGCACTCCGTTGGAAAAGGGTCAAAACTCACTCAATGAGATTTCCATCAGGATCTCTCACGTATACACTGCGAATCTTCCCAACGGCCCCGGTTCTTTCTACAACCTTGGCGCCTTCCAGAATCTGTAGAGATCAGTCTCTATCTGCACCCTGTGGGAGAAAAAACAGTGGAGTGTTCATACTTCAACTCTGGCATCCTGGAATACTTCTAACACCTTTTCCACATTCTCGTCTGTCAAGAAGCACAGATCGGCACTTCCTGGCATAACATCCTGGGCCTTGGGTTCAAATTCCTTGCCCGACTGGTGGAGGTTGATTTTCTGAGACCCGAATATGAGGGCATGTCTATTATCGTCAACGACTTTTAGCTCTTCACTTGGATTGTTCAAAAAGAGGAATTACCTCTGCATGGATTGGTTCGTGGGTGAGGTGAAAATCTCGTGCCGCATGCCGAGGTAGGTTGTATAGAATGCCACCGTTTTGGGAATGTTGCGGACTGTTAAGACCAGGTGGTCCAGAGATTTGACGGCGAATTTCCCAGCCATCTTTGGGTAACCTGTAGATGTGATGATATCCAAACATGGTAAGCTAACGGATGTGCCTCCGGGGGGGGGGCCGTGAAGCATGACTCATCAGATATGGGCTAGGGGCTACTCCAATACAACCAAGGTCTTTGTCTACACGTTTGAATAGTACGGGGTGGATTTCTTTAATCTTGGGATTTGGAAGTCTCCAAAGGGGTATGTGAGGTGGCTGAGTTCATGCTATCAATAAAAATGCAGAACTCATCCCAGGGAGGCCCGCCGGGCATCTCGCTTTTAGTCCCATGGTCAATGCTCACGTGGGTAACCCCCAATTGCCATACGAGAATGCGGTTTCCTTTTGAAATATCTGGCATCTATGGAAGTGAATTCCAAGGGGTACTATTAACATTCCTATATACTTACTAGTTGTATCCTATTAAATTACTAGTTAACAACTCTCACTTTAGATATTTTTTGTCAAAACCTCAAATACGGCCCTCCTAGGCCATAAACAGGAACCGTGGTTTTTGTTATGGTCTAGTGGAAAAGTACGCTGTATTTCGTTCAACATATATCTATCTACAGATTCAATTCGAATTACTTCCTGGTGGAAATACCGCCATCATATGGGTAGAGAGTAGA